TCACCACACAGAGACCCACAGACTCACCACACAGAGACCCACAGACTCATCACACAGAGACCCACAGACTCACCACACAGAGACCCACAGACTCATCACACAGAGACCCACAGACTCATCACACAGAGACCCACAGACTCACCACACAGAGACCCACAGACTCATCACACAGAGACCCACAGACTCATCACACAGAGACCCACAGACTCACCAAACAGAGACCCACAGACTCACCACACAGAGACCCACAGACTCATCACACAGAGACCCACAGACTCACCACACAGAGACCCACAGACTCACCACACAGAGACCCACAGACTCACCACACAGAGACCCACAGACTCACCACACAGAGACCCACAGACTCACCACACAGAGACCCACAGACTCATCACACAGAGACCCACAGACTCATCACACAGAGACCCACAGACTCATCACACAGAGACCCACAGACTCACCACACAGAGACCCACAGACTCACCAAACAGAGACCCATAGACTCACCACACAGAGACCCACAGACTCATCACACAGAGACCCACAGACTCACCACACAGAGACCCACAGACTCATCACACAGAGACCCACAGACTCATCACACAGAGACCCACAGACTCACCACACAGAGACCCACAGACTCATCACACAGAGACCCACAGACTCATCACACAGAGACCCACAGACTCACCACACAGAGACCCACAGACTCACCAAACAGAGACCCACAGACTCACCACACAGAGACCCACAGACTCATCACACAGAGACCCACAGACTCACCACACAGAGACCCACAGACTCACCACACAGAGACCCACAGACTCACCACACAGAGACCCACAGACTCACCACACAGAGACCCACAGACTCACCACACAGAGACCCACAGACTCATCACACAGAGACCCACAGACTCATCACACAGAGACCCACAGACTCACCACACAGAGACCCACAGACTCACCAAACAGAGACCCATAGACTCACCACACAGAGACCCATAGACTCACCACACAGAGACCCACAGACTCACCACACAGAGACCCACAGACTCACCACACAGAGACCTACAGACTCACCACACAGAGACCCACAGACTCACCACACAGAGACCCACAGACTCATCACACAGAGACCCACAGACTCACCCTCCACACACGTGGCCTCACCACTCACTGAGAGCGCTGTTGTGGCGAATTGTAGAAACTGTAAACGTAAAATCACTTTCCATTCATTCACTCATCCACCACACTCACTACAAACACACTCAGCACTCACCCCACACACACTCACCACACACACCACTCACTCACCACTCACTCGACACACACTCACTACACACACACTCACTCACCACTCACCCCACACACACTCACCACACACACCACTCACTCACCACTCACTCCACACTCACTACACACACACTCACCACTCACTCACTACACACACACTCACCACACACACCACTCACTCACCACTCACTCCACACACACTCACTACACACACACTCACCACTCACTCACTACACACACACTCACCACACACACCACTCACTCACCACTCAATCCACACACACTCACTACACACACACTCACCACTCACTCACCCCACACACACTCACCACACACACCACTCACTCACCACTCACTCCACACACACTCACTACACACACACTCACTCACCACTCACCCCACACACACTCACCACACACACCACTCACTCACCACTCACTCCACACACACTCACTACACACACACTCACCACTCACTCACTACACACACACTCACCACACACACCACTCACTCACCACTCACTCCACACACACTCACTACACACACACTCACTCACCACTCAGCCCACACACACTCACCACACACACCACTCACTCACCACTCACTCCACACACACTCACTACATACACACTCACCACACACACCACTCACTCACCACTCACCCCACACACACTCACCACACACACCACTCACTCACCACTCACCCCACACACACTCACCACACACACCACTCACTCACCACTCACTCCACACACACTCACTACACACACACTCACCACTCACTCACTACACACACACTCACCACACACACCACTCACTCACCACTCACTCCACACACACTCACTACACACACACTCACCACTCACTCACTACACACACACTCACCACACACACCACTCACTCACCACTCACTACACACACACTCACCACTCACTCACCCACTCACTACACACACACTCACCACTCACTCACCCCCCACCACCCACCCCCCCACCCACCCCCCACACACTCACCAATGTGACTCTACAGAGGGGTGAGTGGCTGCTCTCTGGCTAGGCATGCGATGGCTAGGCATGCGGTGGCTAGGCATGCGATGGCTAGGCATGCGATGGATAGGCATGCGGTGGATAGGCATGCGATGGATAGGCATGCGATGGATAGGCATGCGATGGATAGGCATGCGGTGGATAGGCATGCGGTGGCTAGGCATGCGGTGGCTAGGCATGCGGTGGATAGGCATGCGGTGGCTAGGCATGCGATGGCTAGGCATGCGGTGGCTAGGCATGCGATGGATAGGCATGCGATGGCTAGGCATGCGATGGCTGGGCATGCGGTGGCTAGGCATGCGATGGATAGGCATGCGATGGCTAGGCATGCGGTGGCTGGGCATGCGATGGCTAGGCATGCGATGGCTGGGCATGCGATGGCTAGGCATGCGATGGCTAGGCATGCGGTGGCTAGGCATGCGGTGGCTAGGCATGCGAGCTACATGACCCAGCCAACGCAGCCTTGCCTGCCGGAGGAGCTCACCGATGGGACTTTGTCCAGATCTCAATCTTAATTATGGAGCTTTCGTGACTGCAGGAATTATTCTTTGGTTCTTTCGGTTAAGTCACGTCTAAAGATAAAATAATAAATTATTTAATTTATAAAATAATGATTTACTTATTTTATTATTTTATCTCTCGGTTAAGTCACGTCTAAAGATAAAATAATAAATTAAAATAAAAGCATATTATTTTAATTTGTTATTTTATCTTTAGACGTGACTTAACCGAAAGAACCAAGATACACACAGATACACACACACACAGATACACACACACACAGATACACACAGATACACACACACACAGATACACACACACAGATACACACACACAGATACACACACACACAGATACACACAGATACACACACACACAGATACACACACACACAGATACACACACACACAGATACACACACACACAGATACACACAGATACACACACACACAGATACACACACACACAGATACACACACACACAGATACACACACACACAGATACACACAGATACACACACACACAGATACACACAGATACACACACACACAGATACACACACACACAGATACACACAGATACACACACACAGATACACACAGATACACACACACACAGATACACACACACAGATACACACACACAGATACACACAGATACACACACACACAGATACACACAGACACACACACACAGATACACACACACACAGATACACACAGATACACACACACAGATACACACACACAGACACACACAGATACACACAGACACACACAGATACACACAGATACAGATACACACACACAGATACACACACACACAGATACACACACACACAGATACACACAGACGCACACAGACAGACACACACAGATACACACACACACAGACACACACACAGATACACACACACAGACACACACAGATACACACACACACAGATACACACAGACACACACACAGACACACACACACAGATACACACACACACAGATACACACACAGATACACACACACAGATACACACACACAGACACACACAGATACACACACACACAGATACACACACACAGATACACACACACACAGATACACACACACACAGATACACACAGACGCACACAGACAGACACACACAGATACACACACACACAGACACACACACAGATACACACACACAGACACACACAGATACACACACACACAGATACACACAGACACACACACAGACACACACACACAGATACACACACACAGATACACACACACACACAGATACACACAGATACACACACACACAGATACACACACACAGATACACACACACACAGATACACACACACAGATACACACACACAGATACACACACACAGATACACACACACAGAGACGCACACAGACACACACACAGATACACAGACAGACAGACACACAGACAGACACACACACAGATACACACACACAGATACACACAGACACACACACACAGATACACACAGATACACACACACAGATACACACACACAGATACACACACACAGATACACACACACAGATACACACACACACAGACACACACACAGATACACACACACAGACACACACAGATACACACACACACAGATACACACAGACACACACACAGACACACACACACAGATACACACACACACAGATACACACAGATACACACACAGATACACACACACAGATACACACACACAGACACACACAGATACACACACACACAGATACACACACACAGATACACACACACACAGATACACACACACACAGATACACACAGACGCACACAGACAGATACACACAGATACACACACACACAGACACACACACAGATACACACACACAGACACACACAGATACACACACACACAGATACACACAGACACACACACAGACACACACACACAGATACACACACACACACAGATACACACAGATACACACACACACAGATACACACAGATACACACACACACAGATACACACACACAGATACACACACACACAGATACACACACACAGATACACACACACAGATACACACACACACAGACGCACACAGACAGACACACACAGATACACACACACACAGACACACACACAGATACACACACAGACACACACAGATACACACACAGAGACGCACACAGACACACACACAGATACACACACAGACAGACAGACACACAGACAGACACACACACAGATACACACACACAGATACACACAGACACACACACACAGATACACACAGATACACACACACACAGATACACACACACAGATACACACACACAGATACACACACACAGATACACACACAGAGAGTCGCACACATACACACACACAGATACACACACAGACAGACACACACACAGACAGACACACACACAGATACACACACACAGATACACACAGACACACACACACAGATACACACAGATACACACACACACAGATACACACACACAGATACACACACACAGATACACACACACAGATACACACACAGACAGACAGACACACAGACAGACACACACACGTGTGGGTCGAGTGTAAACCAATCACAGGGATGATTAGGTGCGCACAGGATACACGGATAAAGTTGTTAAGTTAAAAACTCATGTTTATAACGTCGTTATTTCGTCAACTTTGCTGCAAACAAGACGAACTCACGCGCGGCCGCGTCTTGAGGACGACCATAGTTGTTAAATGTGTTAGATGTAATAATGTTTTATTTGCTTAATCCTACATTTTAATTGTAACGCTTCAAGTGGCGGGGCAGTTGGTTGGTTGGTGAGGGAAGGGCCTCATCCCCTACCAAGATGGCGTCCACAAGCAATTTAATATCGCGCCTCATCCCCTACCAAGATGGCGTCTACAAGCAATTTAATATCGCGCCTCATCCCCTACCAAGATGGCGTCTACAAGCAAGTTAATATCGCGCCTCATCCCCTACCAATATGGCGTCTACAAGCAAGTTAATGTCGCGCCTCATCCCTTACCAAGATGGCCTCCACAAGCTGGTTAATGTCGCGCCTCATCCCCTACCAAGATGGCCTCTCCGAGCTAATAAACTTCGCGACTCACCAGGATGGCCTCTGCAAGGTAATGAACATTGGGACTCACCCCTCACCAAGATGGCTTCGTGACGTGGCACAGTCACCAGCGGCACCTCCCCTACTGCCGAGAATGACGTCACGGCCGTCCACACATTGAGGACACCTTTCCAAGTCGGGCTTAATGACGTCACGACTCCTCCCCTACTAAACATGACGTCATGTCCCCTGTCTAAAACACATTGAGACTCTTCGATTTAAAGCTTTCGTGTCTCCTCGACAGACCCGTTCTTCACCTGAGGACGGCTGCTTGCGTTGTGGCCGAAACGTCGTGGGAATTATTTTATTAAGTTTTATTTTTATTATTTTATTATTTACAAGAAGATCAATGGGCAGTGCTGAGTCTATGGTGCAGTGTTGAGTCTATGGTGTAGTGTTGAGTCTATGGTGCAGTGCTGAGTCTATGGTGTAGTGTTGAGTCTATGGTGCAGTGTTGAGTCTATGGTGCAGTGCTGAATCTATGGTGCAGTGTTGAGTCTATGGTGCAGTGTTGAGTCTATGGTGCAGTGTTTATCAAGTTCTACAGAATCTGGTTCGCACTACGATTTATAAAAGCCCCCTGCTGCTGAGGCCCCACGTGACCACAGCTGGTCACGTGGTCGCGTGGATTTGTCTCCGAGTCGGTTCTCGCCTCTAAACTGCAACCGCGACGCGTCGAGAGGATTTGCCGATTGCTCTGAGCGTCACCTGGAGGAGACGAGACGCGTCGCAGCAGCAGGTGGCGAGACGCAGCAGGTGCAGCAGCAGCAGGTGCAGCAGCAGCAGGTGCAGCAGCAGCAGGTGCAGCAGCAGCAGGTGCAGCAGCAGCAGGTGCAGCAGCAGGTGCAGCAGCAGCAGGTGCAGCAGCAGCAGCAGGTGCAGCAGCAGCAGCAGGTGCAGCAGCAGCAGGTGCAGGTGCAGCAGCAGGTGCAGCAGCATGTGCAGCAGCAGGTGCAGCAGCAGGTGCAGCAGCAGCAGGTGCAGCAGCAGGTGCAGCAGCAGGTGCAGCAGCAGCAGGTGCAGCAGCAGCAGCAGGTGCAGCAGCAGCAGGTGCAGCAGCAGCAGGTGCAGCAGCAGCAGCAGGTGCAGCAGCAGCAGCAGCGGTGAGTGGCGTCTGTGTCCGTGTGTGCGCACAGGGTCGTGTTCACTCTGCCTGCTGCACTCACGGCGCGTCCTGTGGGTCGTGTTCTCTCGCCCAGAGCCCCGGCTGGACACCTGTGACGAGGAGCTTCACAGCTCTTCGGATTCCTCCTCCTGCAGCCAAAATAGAGATTATTACTCCTGCCCCCCCCCCCTTCACCCCTCCTGCTTCTACCCCCTCCTAGCCAAGTGAAGGAAGCCGCCAGGCTGACCATCTGCACCCCCGCCCCATGGAGGCTGTCACCACCATCACCACCATCACCACCACCATCACCACCATCACCACCACCATCACCACCACTCGTGTCGTGCCCTTGCTGCTGCTGCTGCTGCTACAGGGCGACCTTCAGGGCCCCTTGGCGCTGCCGCTGGACCGTGAGTAGCAAACAGCCGCCACCCCCTTGAGACGCCCCCCCCCCCTCTACACCCACCAGTGGTCCACTAGAGACCATCAGCTCCACCCTCGTGACTTCACCAGACCATGGCCACTGCGAGCGGCGTGGTTCTTCTTCTTGCAGGAGCGCCCCGGCTGTTGCAGACGACAGCTGCAATGAAGCGGATCGACGTTCAAGCGGAGCCACATCCTCTAAACACGTGTGGGTCTCTGTGTGAGTACAGAGACCCACACACTACTCACACAGAGACCCACACACTACTCACACAGAGACCCACACACTACTCACACAGAGACCCACACACTACTCACACAGAGACCCACACACTACTCATATAGACCCACACACTACTCACAGAGACCCACAGACTACTCACACAGAGACCCACACACTACTCACACAGAGATCCACACACTACTCACACAGAGACCCACACACTACTCACACAAAGACCCACAGACTACTCACACAGAGACCCACAGACTACTCACAGAGACCCACACACTACTCATAGAGACCCACACACTACTCACACAGAGACCCACACACTACTCACACAGAGACCCACACACTACTCACACAGAGAGCCACAGACTACTCACAGAGACCCACAGACTACTCACACAGAGACCCACACACTACTCACAGAGACCCACAGACTACTCACACAGAGACCCACACACTACTCATAGAGACCCACACACTACTCACACAGAGACCCACACACTACTCACACAGAGACCCACACACTACTCACACAGAGACCCACACACTACTCACAGAGACCCACAGACTACTCACACAGAGACCCACACACTACTCACACAAAGACCCACAGACTACTCACACAGACCCACACACTACTCACACAGAGACCCACACACTACTCACACAGAGACCCACACACTACTCACACAGAGACCCACACACTACTCACACAGAGACCCACAGACTACTCACACAGAGACCCACACACTACTCACACAGAGACCCACACACTACTCACACAAAGACCCACAGACTACTCACACAGAGACCCACACACTACTCACAGAGACCCACAGACTACTCACACAGAGACCCACACACTACTCATAGAGACCCACACACTACTCACACAGAGACCCTACTAACACTCATAGTTTGCTGTGTTTTCGCCCGCAGTTGCGGTTATCACGTCTGGCAACGTACGGTGCAAAAGAAGTTCCAACTCCGCATATGCAGAAAGCCAGCAAGCCTCGGACAGTCGTAGGAAAGGTGCACGACTGCGACATCGCACACACGCACAGGGCCCAGTTAAGTTCGCGTTTGTTGAGGTGCGGCGCCGCAAGTACTTGATCGCGACCCCCCGCGTGACCCCCTCATGACCCCCACGTGACTCCCGCGTGACCCCCGCGTGACCCCCGGGGTCGGGCTGGCGTCCCCTCGATAGGAGAACTACAACGGCAGTGACTTGTTCTATGGGAACCTCATTTGCCACTAAAAATATGATAATTGGTTGTTTACCCTTCTAGCTGGCAACACAACAGGAGCGACCCCCCCCCCCCCCGCCCGCTCGCTGTCTCTTCCCCCCCCCCCCACCGCCTCACACAGCCAGCCCCCCGGAGATGCTGTCGCAGGCGGAGCGTGTGTACGAGGCGGGAGAGGGAGAGGCGGTGTTCATGGAGTGCTCCGTGTCGGCCTGGCCACCCGCCCACATCCTGTGGTGAGAGCCACTTCAATGTCAAAGTGTCTCCCATAGACTTCAATGTCAAAGTGTCTCCCATAGACTTCAATGTCAAGGTGTCTCCCATAGACTTCAATGTCAAGGTGTCTCCCATAGACTTCAATGTCAAAGTGTCTCCCATAGACTTCAATGTCAAAGTGTCTCCCATAGACTTCAATGCCAAAGTGTCTCCCATAGACTTCAATGTCAAAGTGTCTCCCATAGACTTCAATGTCAAAGTGTCTCCCATAGACTTCAATGTTAAATTGTCTCCCATAGACCTCAATGTCAAAGTGTCTCCCATAGACTTCAATGTCAAAGTGTCTCCCATAGACTTCAATGTCAAAGTGTCTCCCATAGACTTAAATGTCAAAGTGTCTCCCATAGACTTCAATGTCAAAGTGTCTCCCATAGACTTCAATGTCAAAGTGTCTCCCATAGTCCTCGATGTCAAAGTGTCTCCCATAGACTTCAATGTCAAAGTGTCTCCCATAGACTTCAATGTCAAAGTGTCTCCCATAGACTTCAATGTCAAAGTGTCTCCCATAGACTTCAATGTCAAAGTGTCTCCCATAGACTTCAATGTCAAAGTGTCTCCCGTAGACTTCAATGTTAAAGTGTCTCCCATAGACTTCAATGTTAAAGTGTCTCCCATAGACGTAAATGTCAAAGTGTCTCCCATAGACTTCAATGTCAAAGTGTCTCCCATAGACTCCAATGTTAAAGTGTCTCATAGACTTCAATGTTAAAGTGTCTCCCATAGACGTCAATGTCAAAGTGTCTCCCATAGACTTCAATGTCAAAGTGTCTCCCATAGACTTCAATGTCAAAGTGTCTCCCATAGACTTCAATGTCGAGGTGTCTCCCATAGACTTTAATGTCAAAGTGTCTCCCATAGACTTCAATGTCAAAGTGTCTCCCATAGACTTCAATGTCAAAGTGTCTCCCATAGACTTCAATGTCAAAGTGTCTCCCATAGACTTCAATGTTAAAGAGGAGGGGGAGGAGGGAGGGGGGAGGAGGGGGGGAGGGGGAGGAGGGGGGGGAGGGGGGGGAGGATGAGGGGGGGGGAGGGCCGCGTAGATCTTGCCGCTCCAACGTCCCCGGACGTTCACTCCGCGTCTCCCAAAGCATCTCAACACCCCCAGCGGCGTCGCCGTCAAACCCCAACGGTTCACACCCCCCCCACCCCCCCATACCCCCCCCACCCCCCCCACCCCCCCATACCCCCCCATACCCCCCACCCCCCCCATACCCCCCCCCACCCCCCCCATACCACCCCCACGCCTCCCCGCGCACCGCCAGGTTCAGGAACTACCGGAGCCTCTCCGTGACGGGCGAGCGCTACCACGTGTTCGAGAACGGCACCCTGCGCATCTTGGACTTGCGTCGCGAGGACGCGGACACCTACACCTGCTTCGCCACCAACAACCTGGGCTCCAGCCAGCTGTGCGCGCACCTCCACGTCCCGGGTGAGCAAAGTCACCGCCGCTGCCGGCAAACCCCTCGGGGAGGAATCCCTCCGCGGTGCGGCACCGGCACCGTCACCGCCAACACCACCACCACTACCACCACCACTACTACCATCACTACCACCACCACCGTCACAACCACCACCGCCGTCACTACCACCACCACTACCACCACCACCACCACCGCCACCACCACCACCACCACCGCCACCGTCACCACCACCGTCACCACCACCGTCACCACCACCACCGTCACCACCACCACCGTCACCCCCAGTGGCGTCGGACGGTGAGGATCGGGGCCAGGACGGCTCCGGCTACGAGGAGGAGGAGGATGAGGAGGAGGACGATGAGCAGGAGACCACCGCCCCCGACGCCAGTAGCAGCCGTGACGGTGGTGCTGACGAGGATGACGACGAGGATGACGACGACGAGGACGACGACGAGGAGGACGACGAGGAGGACGAGGTGTCAGCTACCTCGCCAGGTACGCGGGAGGGCCGTGGCTTCCATCGTCTGACCCTGACGATGCAAATGGCCGTGGTCAGCCCAGTGAAGTCGGCAGCGCGGAAAACGGTGCGTTTAAAAACAACGTGTTTCAGACGCCCCGTGTGGATCTCCGTTGGCTGCTCGGGCTCCCAAGTGCAACGCCCCATTCATGCTCAATTTGGAGCTTTGGTGACTGCAGGAATCACTCTTTGGCCGTTCTTTCGGTAAAGTCACGATTGGGTGAGTGGGTGAGTGAGTGGGTGAGTGGGTGGGTGAGTGGGTGAGTGGGTGAGTGGGTGAGTGAGTGGGTGAGTGGGTGGGTGAGTGGGTGAGTGGGTGAGTGGGTGAGTGAGTGGGTGAGTGAGTGGGTGAGTGGGTGAGTGGGTGAGTGGGTGAGTGAGTGGGTGAGTGGGTGGGTGAGTGGGTGAGTGGGTGAGTGGGTGAGTGAGTGGGTGAGTGAGTGGGTGAGTGGGTGAGTGAGTGATTGGGTGAGTGATTGGGTGAGTGATTGGGTGAGTGGGTGAGTGAGTGAGTGAGTGATTGGGTGGGTGAGTGGGTGAGTGGGTGAGTGGGTGAGTGGGTGAGTGATTGGGTGAGTGGGTGAGTGAGTGATTGGGTGAGTGATTGGGTGAGTGATTGGGTGAGTGATTGGGTGAGTGATTGGGTGAGTGAGTGAGTGAGTGAGTGATTGGGTGGGTGAGTGGGTGAGTGGGTGGGTGAGTGGGTGAGTGGGTGAGTGATTGGGTGAGTGAGTGAGTGAGTGATTGGGTGAGTGAATGAGTGAGTGGGTGAGTGAGTGGGTGAGTGATTGGGTGAGTGGGTGAGTGAGTGGGTGAGTGAGTGGGTGAGTGAGTGGGTGAGTGAGTGGGTGAGTGAGTGGGTGAGTGAGTGAGTGAGTGGGTGAGTGAGTGGGTGAGTGGGTGAGTGGGTGAGTGAGTGAGTGGGTGAGTGAGTGGGTGAGTGGGTGAGTGATTGGGTGAGTGGGTGAGTGAGTGAGTGAGTGATTGGGTGGGTGAGTGGGTGAGTGGGTGAGTGGGTGAGTGGGTGAGTGAGTGATTGGGTGAGTGATTGGGTGAGTGATTGGGTGAGTGATTGGGTGAGTGATTGGGTGAGTGATTGGGTGAGTGATTGGGTGAGTGATTGGGTGAGTGAGTGAGTGAGTGAGTGATTGGGTGGGTGAGTGGGTGAGTGGGTGAGTGAGTGAGTGATTGGGTGAGTGGGTGAGTGGGTGAGTGATTGGGTGAGTGAGTGAGTGAGTGATTGGGTGAGTGAATGAGTGAGTGGGTGAGTGAGTGGGTGAGTGATTGGGTGAGTGGGTGAGTGAGTGGGTGAGTGAGTGGGTGAGTGAGTGGGTGAGTGAGTGGGTGAGTGAGTGGGTGAGTGAGTGAGTGAGTGGGTGAGTGAGTGGGTGAGTGGGTGAGTGAGTGGGTGAGTGGGTGAGTGGGTGAGTGAGTGGGTGAGTGGGTGAGTGATTGGGTGAGTGGGTGAGTGAGTGAGTGAGTGATTGGGTGAGTGAGTGAGTGAGTGAGTGAGTGATTGGGTGAGTGAGTGAATGAGTGATTGGGTGAGTGAGTGGGTGAGTGAGTGAGTGGGTGAGTGAGTGATTGGGTGAGTGAGTGGGTGAGTGAGTGAGTGGGTGAGTGAATGAGTGAGTGGGTGAGTGAGTGGGTGAGTGAGTGGGTGAGTGGGTGAGTGAGTGAGTGAGTGGGTGGGTGAGTGAATGAGTGAGTGGGTGAGTGATTGGGTGAGTGAGTGAGTGAGTGATTGGGTGGGTGAGTGGGTGAGTGGGTGAGTGAATGAGTGAGTGGGTGAGTGGGTGAGTGGGTGAGTGAGTGAGTGAGTGAGTGGGTGAGTGGGTGAGTGGGTGAGTGATTGGGTGAGTGAGTGAGTGAGTGAGTGGGTGAGTGAGTGGGTGAGTGAGTGGGTGAGTGAGTGGGTGAGTGAGTGGGTGAGTGAGTGGGTGAGTGAACAAGTGAGGAACAGATTTCAGTCTCAACTGCCAACAACCTCCAAATCTTCCATCTCCTCGGAGGTGGTGCTGGTGGTGGTGGAGGAGTTGGTGGTGTTGATGGTGGTGGTGGTGGAGGAGATGTAGGAGGTGGAGGTGGTGTAGATGGAGGAGGTGGAGGGGGGGTAGGAGGCCCCCCACTCGTACAGCGCTCTCACAGCGATGGCGACTGTCGTCTCGTCTCTCCGCTGGCCCCTTTGCAGCAGCAGCGGCGGCGTCGTCGACGGCGCCAGCGGGGCGGGCGACCGCCACCAGCAGCGGGGCGTCTCGCCGCCTCGCCGCCGCCGCCACTTGGGCCACGGCGCTGCTGCTCGCGCTGGCGCCGCGGGTGGCGCGCGCCGCCTGGCGCCACGTCTAGGAGGAAGCTTCCCGCTCGACGTGGCGCCAGGAGGAAGCTTCGTCACTCTCGCGGATCTCGACGGTCGCGGCGCCCCGTTGGGTGCGATGTCGCGTCTCGCTCCGCGCGTTCACACCGTCGAGTTTCGCTCTAGACAGGCGCCGGGCGAGACGTGGCGGACTCCCTCGCCCGGGACGCGGGAGTCCGTGGGCTCGAGCGCGACGTCTGCGTAGGTGGAGTCAGCGAGCTGTCCCTGCGCTCGTGCGGAATGTTGGTGTCCGGCTCCTCCGCTCTTCCGCTCCGCACTGAGGAACGGTGGTGATGGTGGCGGTGGTGATGGTGGCGGTGATGGTGGTGGCGGTGGTGATGGTGGTGGTGATGGTGGCAGTGATGGTGGTGGTGATGATGGTGATGGTGGTGGTGGTGGTGATGGTGGTGGTGATGGTGGCAGTGATGGTGATGGTGGTGGTGGTGATGATGGTGGTGGCGGTGGTGATGGTGGTGGTGATGGTGGCGGTGGTGATGGTGGTGGTGATGGTGGCGGTGGTGATGGTGGCGGTGATGGTGGTGGTGGTGATGGTGGCGGTGGTGATGGTGGTGGTGATGGTGGTGGTGGTGATGGTGGCGGTGATGGTGGTGGCGGTGATGGTGGTGGTGGTGATGGTGGCGGTGATGGTGGTGGCGGTGATGGTGGTGGTGATGGTGGCGGTGGTGATGGTGGCGGTGATGGTGGTGGTGGTGATGGTGGCGGTGGTGATGGTGGTGGTGATGATGGTGGCGGTGATGGTGGTGGCGGTGATGGTGGTGGTGGTGATGGTGGTGGTGGTGATGGTGGTGGTGGTGATGGTGGTGGTGGTGATGGTGGTGGTGGTGATGGTGATAGTGGCGGTTATGGTGGTGGCGGTGATGGTGGTGGTGATGGTGGCGGTGGTGATGGTGGCGGTGATGGTGGTGGTGGTGATGGTGGCGGTGGTGATGGTGGTGGTGATGATGGTGGCGGTGATGGTGGTGGCGGTGATGGTGGTGGTGGTGATGGTGGTGGTGGTGATGGTGGTGGTGGTGATGGTGGTGGTGGTGATGGTGGTGGTGGTGATGGTGGTGGTGGCGGTGATGGTGGTGGCGGCGGTGATGGTGGTGGTGGCGGTGATGGTGGTGGTGATGGTGGTGGTGATGGTGGTGGCGGCGGTGATGGTGGTGGTGGCGGTGGTGGTGGTGGTGATGGTGGTGGTGATGGTGGTGGCGGTGATGGTGGTGGCGGTGATGGGCGGAGTCGTGAGTACGCGAGAGAGGTGAGAGGTAGCGAAGAGACCTACCGAGGGATTCAATAGGACTGGGAGGGACACGGCTCGTTCGCTGGGTGATTCGCGCTTCGAGACCGCTCGTGTCTAAATTGCAGTCGCGTCGAGAATAAATCCGAGCGTAAACTAGCGACGTTGCGTGGTGTCTGTGGGCGTGGAGAGAGCGTGGGGCGGTGTGAGTGCGCGCGTGACGATCGGCGCGCACTCACCGCTGAGCCATCGCGGACGTTCGTTGCAGGTGTGAATGAGTGGGTGAGTGGATGAGTGACGGATGGGTGGGTGAGTGGGTGAGTGGGTGAGTGGATGAGTGACGGATGGGTGGGTGAGTGAATGAGTGGGTGAGTGAATGAGTGACAGATGGGTGGGTGAGTTAATGAGTGGGTGAGTGAATGAGTGACGGATGGGTGGGTGAGTTAATGAGTGGGTGAGTGAATGAGTGACGGATGGGTGGGTGAGTGAATGAGTGGGTGAGTGAATGAGTGACGGATGGGTGGGTGAGTGAATGAGTGGGTGAGTGAATGAGTGTGTGAGTGAATGAGTGACGGATGGGTGGGTGAGTGAATGAGTGGGTGAGTGAATTCAGCCATGAATGGATTGGAGGTTGATTGGGTTTGTGGGTGGGTGAGTGGGTGGGCGAGTGACTGAGTGGGTGAGTGAGTGGATGAGTGAGTGGGTGAGTAGGTGAGTGAGTAGGTGAGTGAGTGGGTGGGTGAGTGGGTCGGTGAGTAAGTGAGTGGGTTAGTGAGTGAGTGGGTGAGTGAGTAGGTGGTTGAGTGATTGGGTGGGTGAGTGAGTGATTGGGTTAGTGAGTGAGTGGGTGAGTGAGCGGGTGGTTGAGTGAGTGGGTGATTGGGTCGGTGAGTGGGTGAGTGAGTTGGTAAGTGATCAAGCGGGTGGGTGAGTGAGGGAGCATCTCACAGTTTGCTTTCAACTCTGTAGGTGACGTCCAGAAAAGTTGAGTTGGCCGTGGTGGTGGTGGTGGGTGGGTGGGTGATGGTGGTGGTGGGTGGGTGGGTGGTGGTGGTGGAGTCAATGATTGAAGGGTCAACAATTGGGGGTCGATCCCCTTTGGGGTCAACTTCACCGGGGTCCCAGCAGAGGTCTGCCAGGAGGTCTCGAGACTCCAAACGAACATTCAGTGGGGAAGGCGCTAACCACTGCACCACCACTCCCCACTCACACACAGTGAGCTAACCACTGCACCACCACTCCACACACACAGTGAGCTAACCACTGCACCACCACTCCACACTTAAACAGTGAGCTAACCACTGCACCACCACTCCCCACTCACACACACACAGTGCGCTAACCACTGCACCACCACTCCCCACACACACACAGTGCGCTAACCACTGCACCACCACTCCACACACACACACACTGCGCTAACCACTGCACCACCACTCCACACTCACACACTCACACAGTGAGCTAACCACTGCACCACCACTCCCCACTCACACACACTGCACTAACCACTGCACCACCACTCCACACACACAGTGAGCTAACCACTGCACCACCACTCCACACTTAAACAGTGAGCTAACCACTGCACCACCACTCCCCACTCACACACACACAGTGCGCTAACCACTGCACCACCACTCCCCACACACACACAGTGCGCTAACCACTGCACCACCACTCCACACACACACACACTGCGCTAACCACTGCACCACCACTCCACACTCACACACTCACACAGTGAGCTAACCACTGCACCACCACTCCCCACTCACACACACTGCACTAACCACTGCACCACCACTCCACACACACACACAGTGAGCTAACCACTGCACCACCACTCCCCACTCACACACACTGCGCTAACCACTGCACCACCACTCCACACACACACACAGTGCGCTAACCACTGCACCACCACTCCCCACTCACACACAGTGAGAAAACCACTGCACCACCACTCCCCACTCACACACACACAGTGCGCTAACCACTGCACCACCACTCCCCACTCACACACAGTGCGCTAACCACTGCACCACCACTCCCCACTCACACACACAGTGCGCTAACCACTGCACCACCACTCCACACTTAAACAGTGAGCTAACCACTGCACCACCACTCCCCACTCACACACACACAGTGCGCTAACCACTGCACCACCACTCCCCACTCACACACAGTGCGCTAACCACTGCACCACCACTCCCCACTCACACACACAGTGCGCTAACCACTGCACCACCACTCCACACTTAAACAGTGAGCTAACCACTGCACCACCACTCCCCACTCACACACACAGTGCGCTAACCACTGCACCACCACTCCCCACTCACACACACACAGTGCGCTAACCACTGCACCACCACTCCCCACTCACACACAGTGCGCTAACCACTGCACCACCACTCCCCACTCACACACAGTGCGCTAACCACTGCACCACCACTCCCCACTCACACACACAGTGCGCTAACCACTGCACCACTACTCCACACTTAAACAGTGAGCTAACCACTGCACCACCACTCCCCACTCACACACACAGTGCGCTAACCACTGCACCACCACTCCCCACTCACACACACAGTGCGCTAACCACTGCACCACCACTCCCCACTCACACACACAGTGCGCTAACCAGCTTGGTGGTGTTTCATTCTTCGCCTGAGGACGGCTGCTTGCGTTGTGGCCGAAACGTCGTGAGAATTGTTTTATTATGTTTTATTTTTATTATTTTATTACTTCCCTTCTACGTGGTGACTTTACCGAAAGAACCAAGAAGAAGGGGTAACTTGTTAACTGGATGACGAGTGCTGTCACGCACAGAGACCCACAGACTCGCGCAGAGACCCACACGCTCGCGCAGAGACCCACACACTCGCGCAGAGACCCACAGGCTCGCGCAGAGACCCACACGCTCGCGCAGAGACCCACACGCTCGCGCAGAGACCGACACACTCACGCAGAGACCCACACGCTCGCGCAGACACCCACACACTCGCACAGAGACCCACACGCTCGCGCAGAGACCCACACGCTCGCGCAGAGACCCACAGGCTCGCGCAGACACCCACACGCTCGCGCAGAGACCCACACGCTCGCGCAGAGACCCACACGCTCGCGCAGACACCCACACGCTCGCGCAGAGACCCACACGCTCGCGCAGAGACCCACACGCTCGCGCAGAGACCCACACGCTCGCGCAGAGACCGACACACTCACGCAGAGACCCACACGCTCGCGCAGACACCCACACACTCGCACAGAGACCCACACGCTCGCGCAGAGACCCACACGCTCGCGCAGAGACCCACAGGCTCGCGCAGACACCCACACGCTCGCGCAGAGACCCACACGCTCGCGCAGAGACCCACACGCTCGCGCAGACACCCACACGCTCGCGCAGAGACCCACACGCTCGCGCAGAGACCCACACCGCTCGCGCAGAGACCCACACGCTCGCGCAGACACCACACGCTCGCGCAGAGACCCACACGCTCGCGCAGACACCCACACGCTCGCGCAGAGACCCACACGCTCGCGCAGACACCCACACGCTCGCGCAGAGACCCACACGCTCGCGCAGAGACCCACACGCTCGCGCAGAGACCCACAGGCTCGCGCAGAGACCCACACGCTCGCGCAGAGACCCACAGACTCGCGCAGAGACCCACACGCTCGCGCAGAGACCCACCACGCTCGCGCAGACCCACAGGCTCGCGCAGAGACCCACACGCTCGCGCAGAGACCCACACGCTCGCGCAGAGACCCACACGCTCGCGCAGAGACCCACACGCTCGCGCAGAGACCCACACGCTCGCGCAGAGACCCACACGCTCGCGCAGAGACCCACACGCTCGCGCAGAGACCCACACGCTCGCGCAGAGACCCACACGCTCGCGCAGAGACCCACACGCTCGCGCAGAGACCCACACGCTCGCGCAGAGACCCACACGCTCGCGCAGACACCCACACGCTCGCGCAGAGACCCACACGCTCGCGCAGAGACCCACACGCTCGCGCAGAGACCCACAGGCTCGCGCAGAGACCCACACGCTCGCGCAGAGACCCACACGCTCGCGCAGAGACCCACACGCTCGCGCAGAGACCCACACGCTCGCGCAGAGACCCACACGCTGGCGCAGAGACCCACACGCTCGCGCAGACACCCACACGCTCGCGCAGAGACCCACACGCTCGCGCAGACACCCACACGCTCGCGCAGAGACCCACACGCTCGCGCAGAGACCCACACGCTCGCAGAGAGACCCACACGCTCGCGCAGAGACCCACACGCTCGCGCAGAGACCCACACGCTCGCGCAGAGACCCACACGCTCGCGCAGAGACCCACACGCTCGCGCAGAGACCCACACGCTCGCGCAGAGACCCACACGCTCGCGCAGAGACCCACAGGCTCGCGCAGAGACTCTGAACCGGTCCTGGGCCTCCCTTCGGTCGACTCAGCCTCAAATGAGGAGCGCTGTGCGGTAGTTGAC